AGACTATATGGTTACTTTTGCCTGTTTTTGGTCTAAAATTATTTAGTCGCTTTTGCTCCCTCTATTTTATCATTTTTATACTTATTTATGCAATTATTTGGACACAAATTAAATACATCACAAATTGTGCATCTACACTCAGTTTTATTGTCTTGGTCTTGAGGGAGGTTCGGGCCCAATTTGCTTGTTTCTCTACCAGTCCATGGTACGCATGATATAAAAGTCCCACTCATATTGCAAATTAGTTAAATGGACTCAGAGCAATGGGTTCAGATGACAGGAAACAAGATTCCACCTGAAAATTAGGAAGCATTTCCTGACCATGAGAGCTGTTCAGCAGTGGAACTCTCTGTCTTGAAGTGCAGTGGAATCTCTTTCCTTGGAAGCTTTTAAACAGAGACTGGATGACCATCTGTTGGGGTGCTTTGATTGTGTTTTTTTCTGCATGACAGGGGTTTGAACTAGATGGTCATGTGGTCTCTTCCAACTATGATTCTATTATTTTCTCCCTATCAGTTTTTTTCACTGTCAGTCTGCCACAAACATAGAACTGACAAATACTAACACAGATCAGTCTAGCCATTACTTCAATACTTCCAAAGTTAAAAATGCACAAGCCTACTCAAGAAGCATAGTTTCATCTCCTAAACTGCTTTTTCAGCTGAGACTTTCCCCCTCTTGATATTTTCCTGCTACTCCTCAAGTTTGAAACTATTCCTGCTGCTTCCAGTCCTAGTCCAAAAGATAAATTCCCACTTCCCTCACACATGTGTCTTGAAAAGGCAATTATGAGCGAAGCCCCAGGGGTGTCATTCAGCTACTTTGCACTGATTTGCCCAAACCTGGTTGTTAAAATTTTTCAGATTCATCAAACCACTTGATGGCAGTGGGGGATGGGGATTGGGGGGTTGGTGAGGTTTCAGTTTGGAGTGGCCCGTGGCTCACTCTAGCATAGGATAATATATGGATCTACTATGTTTTGCTGTTGCTGTGTGTGTTTCAAGTCATGCCCAGCTTATGGAGACCATAAGGCTGTGTTTCTCAACCTTCCTAATGCAATGACCGCTTAATACAGTTCCTCATGTTGTGGTGACTCCCAACCATAAAATTATTTTCGTTGCTACTGATGGGGAGATATTGTAAATATAGATATTTATGCATATATTGTATGTACATTAGAAGCATTGAAATGTAAGAAAAATCAGTCTCTCTCTGTATTAGAAAGCCAAGCTGACAGGCCAGAAAGAATGCTGAAGGAGATCTATGTTGGAAGCGGGAAGAGAAGGGGAGCATGCTATCTATACAGAGACTGGTACAGCTTATCCAGGCTAAAAAGTAAGGAATCTCCCTCCCTCCTAACAGGTCAAAGTAGGCCCCTTGATGGATGGATGTAAGCTGCTTTAGAAAAAATATAGAAACATGCCTCTTGTATGTTAGAAGATAGAATTTGATATTTCTGTGATACTTAAGGTGATGTAGTGATGATGTTAACATATGTAGAAGCATGTTCCTTTGTTTGCCTGCATTTGAAGATGTATAAAAAGGGAAAGTCAACACCTTTATCCTCACTCTGGTTTGCTTTTGGATGAGAGTCCACGCCAAAGTCCCAGCTGGAAATAAAGCCATACTTTTCTGCTTCCAAAAGGATCACGCTTGGTATTATCTCTCCTATCTGCTGCTACACTACTTCATAACTGTAATTTTGCTGCTGTTATGAATTGTCATGTAAATATCTGATACGCAGGATATATTTTCATTCCCTGGACCAATTTGGCACAAATACCTGATTTGCTCAAATTTGAATACTGGTGAGGTTTTGTTTTTTGGGGGTGGGGGGTGGGGGTGATTTTGTCATTTGGGAGTTGCAGTTGTTGGGATGTATAGTTCACCTACAATCAAAGAACATTCTGCACTCTACCAACGATGGAATTGAACCAAACTTGGCACACAGAACTCCCATGACCAACAGAAAATACTGGAAGGGTTTAGTGGACATCGACCTTGAGTTTGGCAGTTGTAGTTCACCTACATTCAGAGAGAATTGTGGACTCAAACAATGATGAATCTGGATCAAATTTGGCATGAATACTCAATACGCCCAATTGGTGGAGTTTGGTGAAAATAGTCCTTGACATTTGGGAGTTGTAGCTGCGGGGATTTATAGTTCACCAACAATCAAAGAGCATTCTGAACCCCACCAATGAACGAATTGGGCCAAACTTCCCACACAGAACCCCCTTGACCAACAGAAAATACTGTGCTTTCTGATGGTCTTTGATGACCCTCTGACACCCCCTCATGACCCCCCCCAGGTCCTGACCTCCAGGTTGAGAAACGCCGCCCTAAGGTGAACCTATCATGGGGTTTTCAGGGGCTGAGAGTGGGACTTGCTCAAGGTCATCCATGGCTGAGCAGGGATTCAAACCCTAGTCTCCTGAGTCCAAGTACAATGCTCAAACTACGTTGCTATACACCACTACATGTTGTGGTTGTGGTTGTGTGCCAATTTATGGAAACCTTAAGGTGTTTTCTAGGGTTGAGAGTGTGACTCACTCAAGTTCATCAAATGAGTTTCCATGGCTGAGTGAGAAATGTAACCCTAGTCTCCAGAGGTGTAGTCCACTATGCCAGGCTGGCTCTCTCTGTTATGTTACACTGAGCTAAACAGGATTGTAGTCAATTAGTCCCTAAACTGAAAATGCTGTCTGCCCGGCATTCTCCTGTCATTTCCCCATTACTCAGAAAAAATGGGTTACCTGAGTTAAGACTGGAGATGCTCTAATTTAATGTTTAGATGAGGAAATTTGGCAAGAAGATTCATAGAATCATCCAATCATTTATTTAGTTGCATGACAAGTAACATCTGATGAAGCTCCATTTTCTAACAATCATTAAAGGTACAGAAGAGTTTTCAGTCTGGCAAACCTTTGAGAAAATGCATGTTTCACATATTATTTTAATATTTTCAGATATTTTTCCACCCATTGTTGTTGTTGTGTACCTATAAATCATTTCTGATGGTGATCCTAAGTCAAACCTATCATGGGGCATCTCTTTTTAGTAAGAAGAGGTTTGTGATTGTCTTCTTCTAAAGATGATAGTGTGACCTGTCCAAGATAGCCCAGAAGATTTCATGGGTGAACAAGGATTTGAACCCTAGAGCCCTTTTCCACATGGCCCGATATCCCAAAATATCAAGGCAGAAGACCCCACAATATCTGCTTTGAACTGGGTTATCTGAGTCCACACTCAGATAATGTGGGATTTTCTGCCTTGATATTCTGGAATATAGGGCTGTGTGGAAGGGCCCCTAGTCTCCAGTAAGTTAGTCCAATGCTTAATTCACTACACCAAGCTGGCTCTTGATTTCTTGGAGATAATGATTATTGATATTGCCATTTTGTTAGGTTTTATTAGAAATTATTTTGTTGTTTATTCGTTCAGTAGTTTCCAACTCTTAGTGACCTCATGGACCAGCCTACGCCAGAGCTCCCTGTCAGCCATGGCCACCCCCAGCTCCTTCAAGGTCAAGCCAGTCCCGTCAAGGAACCATCCATCTTGTCCTTGGTCGGCCCCTCTTCCTTTTTCCTTCCATTTTCCCCATCATCATTATCTTCTCTAATAAGTCTCCTCATGGCCTAAGTCTCCTCATGATGTGGCTAAAATAGAAAATATTAGTGGAGTGTTTAATTTCCAGTGGATATTGTCAATGACATTTACACATTTGATTTGGGTATATTCAATGCTGGCCTTGAAATCCCGTGCTCAAACCACTACACAACACTGGCTCCTCTTTCTCATAATTACTGTGCAGTAACAGCACTTCAATACAACAAAACAACTGGGATTTGTAATTTGGCACAGCCATCTCTTTCTCCTGCACTGACTAAAGCAGGGAAAATGTGATGGTAATAGTGTTCATCTGGAAAGTGGATTGGATCAAAACAAATTCAATTCAGTTATCCAGACTGCTGTGAAACCCACTGATAATCTGGAGTTTCCTGCATAATCAGAAAACTTCTAATGCAAAGCAAATTCAGATTAAGAGCAGAAAATCCAAGATACGCACCAGAAGTCATTATGCATTCTGAAAACAACTAACCCTACATTCAAAATAAGTCCAGGGTTGTGATTTTTTTATCTTTGTTTTTGACTCATGCAGATAAACATACTTAATTAAATACACTTTCCTGTTCCAACCCCTCAAGCTTGATGCAAACATTGTTTACACATGTTTCAGTCGATGCCCAAAAAAATAGGTTGGGGTGATTTACTATCATGACAATAGTGTCACAACGATGACTAAACAGCAATCATTGATCCAAATAACTTATCTAAATTCAGTCATCCATAACTGTTCTATATTCATGATCATTACTTAGTAATGATTGTGACACTATTGCATTAATTGTATCTCTTCCTGCCACCAAACATAACATGTATATCATTTCCATTTGATACAGGGACAGGAGTTGGACCAGGAGAAGTTAAGTACAGAACATGGTGAGTGTGATTTTTGTCTGCATTCAGACTGACACACCTCTCTGATTAATTTCTCTATATGCCCTTATTTTCATGCATCCAGGTTCATTCTCTACCAATTCTGTAGAGGTATTTTCATATGCAGACATCTAAAGGAACAATATCAGCAGGAAATTTTGAGTTAATTTTATAAATGGGTGCTTCAATGATGCATAAATCGATGTATTGGCTAAATTACATTTGAACACATTTTAGGAATATATGCCAATGTTTTTGTTCATTTTTTTCAAGGGTGTGAATGCTCTAGTTTTGTGTTATTGTTGTTTTACAACATTACCAATTGTATGGATTTCCAAATGCAAATCTTATCCCTGGTTGTATTTAGTCCTAGAGTTGGATATCACATTAATTGGTTCTTTAAAACAAGCTCAGCAGAGCCAATTATCCACACAAATTTATTCTGTATAATTTAGGAGAAATAATCGGCGCCCCCACCCTCTTTCCCTGCATATGCCTACCTGCCACGAAGAGAAGAAAGAAGATGGACTCAGAATGTTTGGGTTGCTGGGATGTCTGCCACCCATGAATTCATCTGTACAGATGTCACAGCCCTGGGCATCTCGCCAGTCCCAATAGGGGATGGTGAAGTTCTCATTCCCTGACAACTTCTGGATCTCATGTTCCCACATGAGCAAAAAAAGCCGGTGCCAAGGAAGGAAACCTGGGGCCTCATGGGCAAAATCAATGTCCCGCCACACGCTGGTGCCTCCAAGGAGAGTATCCCGGGACACATAGTAATGCATCCAGACAAACAGGTCATAGACATTGATGTCTTGGAACATAGGGATTGAGCCGTTGTTCATCTGGGCATACGTTCCCGTTGCAATGACAAAATCCCGGCTAGTTGTGTGCTTGGCCAAGTTGAGGTAGGCAAGAAACTGGTACTTTTCCCTGGCACTGATCCGAAAGATATCTCTCCTCACCCGTGACTTTCTTTCGGTGCAGTTGGGACCTGCAAAGTTGAACTTGCAATCGCCGCAGTTGAACCCCATGAAGTTGCCTGTGCATTGGCAAGTTCTGTTATAAAAAACAGCTGGCCAATCTTCTCTGTCGTCCACTCCAGAGAAGGGAAACTGAGGACCAAGTGGGGCATCTGAAAGAAGTATTTCTGAACAGGATCCCCTGCCGGAAAGCTCTCCACAAGGAGACCCATCCCCCGGCCAAGGGGGGCAGCATTCCTTTTTTAAGAGACTGTCCGAATTGGCACATGCCCGTGGGAACTGGCTCAATCCTAGAGGAAGAAGACCCAAGAAGATGCCGATGGAGAAAAGACACATTCTCTCTGCAGCAGTAGAAGACTTACAAACCAGTTGTTTAGTCAACTGGCAACAAGCAGGTTACTATCCTTATTGCAGTCCGGAGAAGTTTTCCCCATGCATTTCTTTTCTGTACATCATTCAATATCCTTTCCCATCTTTGCCTCACACACACAGACGCACATACATACACTTTTTCAGTAATCTGATTATCACATGTTCTGGGCTCCATCCAAGTAACTTTTGCTCCCCCTCCTCCTCGGGCTTCGGTTGTACAGAGCCTTACTTGAAAACCTTCATCTTCTGCCTAGCACATGATCACTTTAAAAATGCCTGACCACAGAGGGTGCAATTCTTGGTCACACACAGGAACTTGGACAGTTCATTTAACAGTGTCTTGAGGTTGGGGGTGGGAAAATGAAGCCTGGGGGTTGAATGAGGGAGGGGGAAGAGGACATTCCACAAACCAAGCCAAGTCTGTTGAATTGCGTGAGCTCTGAAAATCTGCAAATCTGTACAAGTACACGGGTCTGCCATCTTTTCCTTTAGAAGAGAGTAGCACAGTCAGACTACAACTCCAGAATGCAATTGAACTACAATTCCCTGTACACCTCAGTATGGGGTAAAGCTGAAAGGAGCTGCAGTTCAGCCGTAACTGGAAACCCATACTTTGCCATCATCTACTTTAAAGGAATAGATTTTCTCATATTACACATAGAATTTCTACCACATCTTTCTCTCAACTGGGATTTAATATGGTGATACATGTTTCCAGACAGAATCAGAGAATGATAGAACCCTTTTGCTAAAATGAGAAAAAAGCAGAAATCTTAAACATAAATGAATATATATAGGCTGTCTTGAGGTTCCAGATTGAAAATCAAATGGGTTCACTCTATTACAGGATCCTATATTCTCTCATCTGAAACTAACCAAAGATTAAGACCCATCTACACTGCCATATAATGCAGCTTGGAACTCATATGATGTGGTTTAATTAAGGTGGATTTCTGACTATGCTTTGCATTGGAAGCTTTAAGAGCTGGTGAGAAAGCTGAAAATATTCTACAGTCAAAATATTCTACCACTTGCTCCCCCACTTACATGTTGGAATATAGGTTGCCTGAGCCGAACTCCTGAAATCAGCCCCCTCTTTAGGTAACAAATCTGGTAGGACCCCTGGCTACATGCACTTCACTTTACTAAGAATGGAGTTGGTTTTCTTTCTCTGCTGAGAGAAGTGCAGCCTGGCTTCTGTTGCTTCTCTCAGCAGAGGAAGGAGACATACTTCTTCCTCAGCCAAAAGAAGAACAGCTGGGCAAATTTGGCACCCATGTAGGGGCTGCTATCAGTTCTTCATGTTGGGCAAACTGATCTCCCACGGTCCTCATCTTCACCCACATCTTCATGTATAACTGAACCTGTGTAATGCAAGGTTAAGTAAGTAATGCACAGGTCTACTGTATTTAGGAGGAGCTCCCAGTGGTACAATGGGTTAAAGCACTAAGCTGCTGAACCTGCGAACCAAAAGGTCGCAGGTTCGAATCTGGGAAGCGGTGTGAGCAATCGCTGTTAGCCCCAGCTTCTGCCAACCTAGCAGTTCAAAAACATGCAAATGTGAGTAGATTTTTTTTTTGTCGTGACAGGAGCGACATAAGAAACTGCAAGTCGCTTCTGGTGTGAGAGAATTGATTGTCTGCAAGGACGTTGCCCAGATGTTTTTGATGTTTTACCATTCTTGTGGGAGGCTTCTCTCATGTTCCTGCATGAGGAGCTGGAGCTGATAGAGGGAGCTCATCCGCGCTCTCCCTGGATTTGAACCTGTGACCTGTCTTTAGTCCTGCTGGCACAGGGGTTTAACCCACTGTGCCACCGGGGGCTCCTACTGATGTGAATAGATCAATAGGTAACACTCTGGTGGGAAGGTAATGGTGCTTCATGCAGTCATGCCGGCCACATGACCTTGGAGGTATCTATGGACAATGCTGGCTCTTTGGCTTAGAAATGGAGATAAATACCCCAAAGTTGGACATGATTGACTTAATGTCAGGGGAAAACCTTTACCTACTGTATTTAGGGGCTCTCATAACTTTACAATGGGCATCCATTGCACAAATGAATGCAAGACCTGATACAGTTCTCATTTGCCCCCCCCCCCTTTAATGGTTATCTTATTGCATTATGGAACTGGAGAAACTGGTGGAGAGACTGATTCCCCAATGTGCACGATAATACCAGTTCGAAAATGCCAGGGCATAAACTGAGTGCTTGAAGTGCATCAGAAGTTCCCAATGTGCATTGCTATATTCTTGCCAGCACCCATGTAGGCTTCTTCACAATTCACTAATAGAGCTTTTGTGGTATTTCTATGGCATAGCTATGGTTTCATAAGGTTACAAATCAAAGACTTTGATGTGACATCTCAGCCTTTCTTTAGCTATTCTGCAACAACTGTTTTTTTTAAATTGTTTTGCTTAATAACAAAATGTCATAATTCAATAAGATAACAACTTTAACAAACAGGGCAAATGAGAAACAAATCTGGCCTAGTATTTATTTCACGCACACAATTTTTCTACTTCCATCCTCCTTTTAGAGAGATACAGAAATGGCTGCTGTAACATCAGCTGATTCTTCCCAAATCGTTCTCCAGCTTGAACGAGATAGGAAAGCCCTGGGCTACCTCATCTCCTAGAAAGTGCTTACATACTTCACTGGGAAAACATTGCCTTTTTGGTGGCAATAAGAGGGCCGTCATATGATCCTGCTGAGAAACACGTGGAGCTTTAATCCTCTTGGCTTCGGGAAACCCAGACAGATTATCACAGGGTCTGTGTGCCTGCTTGGGGCTGCCTAAGCTATTTTGCTTCGGCTTCCCCCTCCTCTCCTTCTCTCTCCCATCTTTGCCCTTTTAAAAGCTGACTCAAAAGTCACTCATGCATTCTCCATCACTTCTGTCTGCATATTCCAGGCTGAGCAGAGGCAGGTGATTCGTAACTGTATGTATGTCCTTGGATTTCCACTCTCATCATCCTTTGCTGTTGCTGGCTGGAGTTGATGGAGTTTCGGTCTGACAGCATTAAAAGAGCTGTAAGGTACTTAGTCTCAGATTCAGAAACACTTCTGTGGTCAGATAAATTCCCAACACAACTTAATATGGATGCAGAGAAGTAAAAGTGGAAAAAAATATCAAAGGGTGCATCTGCACTGTAGATTTGATGCAGTTTGACTCCACTTCAACAGCCAAGGATTAATGCTATGAAATCATGGTACCTGTAGTTTCACTTTGTCTACTCTGCCTAGGAGCCCCTGGTGGCGCAGTGGGTTAAACTCCTGTGCTGGCAGGACTGAAGACTGACAGGTCGCAGGTTCGAATCCGGGGAGAGGCGAATGAGCTCCCTCTATCAGCTCCAGCTCCTCATGCGGGGACATGAGAGAAGCCTCCCACAAGGATGATAAAAACATCAAACCATCCAGGCGTCTCCTGGGCAACGTCCTTGCAGACGGCCAATTCTCTCACACCAGAAGCGACTTGCTCCTGACACGACCAAAGTCTCCTCTGCCAAAGAGTGTTGCTGCCTCCAAGGCATCGAGTGCTAGAAGCGTAAAGTGGTGTGAAACTGCAACAATTCTACAGAGTAGATGCACCCTGAGTCCTCCTTGTTCCAGAAGAACCAATATAGTGAGCGGTGTTAAGGATCAGTGCAGTATAGTGGTTTACGTGTTGAAGTAGGGCAGTATTTCTCAATCTGGGGGTCGGGACCCTTGGGGGGGTCACCAGGGGATGTCAGAGAGGTCACCAAAGACCATCAGAAAACATAGTATTTTTGGTTGGTCAATGGGGGTCTTCGTGTGGGAAGTTTGGCCCAATTCTATCATTGGTGGGGTTCAAAATACTCATTGATTGTAGGTAAACTATAAATCCCAGCAACTACAATTCCCAAATATCAAGGTCAATTTTCCCCAAACTCCACCAGTGTTCACATTTGGGCATATTGAGTATTCATGCCAAGCTTGATCTAGAGCCATCACTTTTTGAGTCCACAATACTCTCTGGATGTAGGAGGACTACATCTCCAAAACTCAAGGTCAGTGCCCACCGAACCCTTTCAGTATTTTCTGTTGGTTATGGGACTTCTGTGTGGCAAGTTTGGTTCAATGTCATTGTTGGTGGAGTTCAGAATGCTATTTGATTGTGGGTGAACTATAAATCCCAGCAACCACAGCTCCCAAATGACAAAATCAATCCCCCCAATCCCACCAGTATTCAAATTTGGGCATATCAGGTATTTGTGCCAAATTTGGTCCAGTGAATGAAAATACAACCTGCATATCCAATATTTACATGATGATTAATAACAGTTGCATAATTATAATTATGAAGTAGCAGCAAAAATAATTTTATAGTTGCGGGTCACCACAAAATGAGGAACTGTATTAAGGGGTCACAGCATTAGGAAGGTTGAGAAACACTGAACTAGGGTTATATATTTGCCCAAACTCAGAAACAGATTGAACCACTCACAACAGAGGAGTGAGGCTGTACCTACACTGCCCTATATCCCAGAATGTGATTCCCCATTAGCTGCTTTAAACTGGATTATATGTGTCTCCACTGTCACATAACTTGGGATAAGAAGATAATTTGATCAGATTTTGAGATATAGGGCAGTGTAGAAGGGCCCTCAGTTGTTAACATTGTGGACTTTAACCAAAGTTCATTTTTCTTTTTTGGCCGCAGGGTGGTGACCCCACTGGACGCGGCAGTCCAGTCAGGGATAAGAGAGGCATCACTGGCCACGTTGTCCGGATGCCCGACCACCGTCTCCCAAAGCAGTTGCTCTACTCCGAACTCAAGAATGGAAAATGGAATATTGGTGGGCATGAAAAGAGATTTAAAGATGGGCTCAAAGCCAACCTTAAAAACTCTGGCATAGACACTGAGAACTGGGAAGCCCTGGCCCTTGGGCGCTCCAGCTGGAGGTCAGCTGTGACCAGCAGTGCTGCAGAATTTGAAGAGGCATGAATGGAGGGTGAAAGAGAGAAACGTGCCAGGAGGAAGGCGCATCAAGCCAACCCCAACCGGGACCGCCTCCCACCTGGAAACCAATGCCCTCACTGTGGGAGAAGATACAGGTCAAGAATAGGGCTCCACAGCCACCTACAAACCCACCCCCAGGACACCGAACTTGGAGGACCACCATCCTCGGACTATGAGGGATCGCTCAACGCAACAGACTTTAACCATGTAACCAAACTGATGTGGCCATTGGAAGACAAACCAGTTGAAGGCTTTATGAAACACTAGAAACTGTTTGTACTGGAAACTGTTTA